ATAGCCCCTGGAATCCCTGGGACACACAAACCCCTCCACCATGAGTAGGTAGCAATTTGCGTAGGAGGACCCAATTCCTTTCATCTTATTTCTCCTAGTTAACCATTGTTGCCTGGCCTGTAAGAAAATTGATGAGAAAAGTCTGCTTCCGCTGTGCTGCAGAGTTTTAAGGGCCATAAATAAAAACTCTGTCACCCAACACCTGTCCATACCCAGCCAACAACAGTTGAGTTAATGTAAAGAGAGGAGAGTATACAACATGCCAGATAACAGACAACCTTGCCTAATACCTCTCCAGACAGGGAGATGTAAAGAGAGGAACTAGTTTAGGACATCCAAACCACAAATGTTGCAAGGCCTCCTCAGCTTGAAAAAAATACAAGCTTATAATCTTTGACTGTCTGCTCTACCACCTGTGGCTCAGGTGGTAGAGCAGATAGCCAGTCTGCTTGCCAAATATCCTTGGGAAGGTACTAACCCCAAGTTGCTCTCCAATGCAGCCATCAGAATATGAATATGTGTGAATGTTAGATAGAAACACTTAGACAGAAAGAGTATTTTAAAAAAGTGCTGGTGTGAATGAGTCAAGTTGTGTAAATCACTTTGAGAGCTCAGTTAGCTTAGATATAAGAACCAGTCCATATTTACATTGACTACGTCCCTTTAAAACCCGAACCATGAAATAACTGCCAGAAATCTTCATTTTTTGATAATGGAGTGTTTGTTGAACCCCAAGACAAAATATATATAAAAATATATCAAATTTTAATCTGCATATGAGTTTTAATTTGTATCACATTTGCTACATAACCCATATTTTTGCAATTTAGTCATTAAAAATGTTTCATGCAATTTAGATCATTTTTTGAGGGTAAAAAAAAGTCATGCTGATGATGTAGAAGTCTCAAAAACTCACAAAAACACATGTAGCAGATACGATACACTTGGCTTTAATTAAGCGCCATATGTCTGTTTGTGGTAACTCACCTGTGCGCTATCCTCAACTAGAGATCTAGGGCCCCCTGGATTTTTTTCATAGGGGTGGCCATGGGAGCCACTAAAAATATTGGGGTGGCATACCAAAGCCGAACCGTGCAGGGGCTCAGCGAATGGGAAGAGGTGATGGAAATTGTGAGTGACATACAAAGTGACACAATACGAATGAGAAAAATTGTATATGCAAGAATAAATAACAAATTATTGTTTCAACTCACTGTAAGATGTCTTCCTCTCTTTCTTGCGCCCACGTTTATTAAAAATATTATGAACATAGGATAATCTAGCCAGAGGGCCAGTGGGGGGGGGGGGGGGGGGGTTTTTGGGGGGGGGGGTTGCGGCTATGTGAGTCTCCGCAAAACCCACACTCGGCACTTGCCAAACGAATCCAGGAAGGGCAGCCACCACTTCCTCCACCAACTTCCGTAGGACAGACAATGACCTAGGAACTGGCAGAACCGGCTGAAGACAGCAGCAGTTTTCCGCTGCTCTCCTGATCCCAGCACTGCCAGTTTTGTCAGGCCAGATGTTGCTAGGACTCTTTGCATGGTAACAAATGCTACAATTATTGATGCTAATAGAACCAAGCAAGCTAGACTGAATAAGAGGGTTGAAGAACAGGGGGTCTTCCCTCTGCTGGCATAAAACTCAGAGCAGAATCTTTTAACACATAACACTTTGGTTCAGAGTAGTAGAAGGATGAAATCCCTGAGATGTCTGTACCAGTCATCATTTCGATCCACATCTGTGGTTTGTGGTATAAGAAATGCTGAGCAGTCTGAAGACAAAAAGACCTAATGCAATTTTTTATGTCAATGAGTCGCTGTCCACCTTCCCACAGAGGTAACAAAAGTGCTTTGGTAAAAGTTGCCAAAAAAGGCAACCAGTCTCTTCTCTATTTCCTGCATCAGTGTATGTGGAGGCAGGAACAGGAGCATACGGCATGGCAGATATAACAGACAACCATCCCTAATGACTCTCCAGACAGGGACTGGTCTGCTGAGTCCCCTCCTATCTTCAACAAAACAGCAACTCAAAGCATGAAATATTGTTTTTTCCCCAAACCTGCATCTTGAAGTGTCCTAAACAAATAATCCACTCTATCAAAAGGTTTTTCTTGATCTAACCAAAAAATCCAGCTTTTGAAGATGGAATTTGGACTTTAGATCACAGATTTAGACAGATCCAATTTGGCTCCAGTCATTTCCCAGCTCGTGACATTTGGATCCATTCACAGCAGCTTATTTTAGATTTACAATCTGTCTTCCTTATCTAAAATATTTCATCCTTTCAAAACTGTACTGAAATATCCAAAATCTGTAAAAGCCATTTGAGACATTTGTAATATGCTTAAATTTATGATAAATCTTTCCTTTTTTAGTTAAATATAAAACAGTGACTGTCAGGAAGCCCTCATCTATCAGTGAGGGCTGATATAGAAGCTTAAACTGGGAACATTAAAGCAGAGGGTTTTCTGTCTTTTTATTCAGTAATGGCAGAGATAATAAAATTCTTTATTATTATTTTTTGGAGTTAAAGTGAAAGTTAAAAAAAAAAAGGCAAAAATGGTTGCAAACAGTGGTTTTTTTTGTCTTTTGCTTTTTGACGTCAAAACACTGATGTAAACTTTAGCCTGAGCGTGATAAACGTGCCTGACACACTCACTCATGTCCCAACAAGGAAATCTAGAGTTATTTAAGCACTGTTACACAACTCCACCTAGGAAGTGTACTGGAATTTTTTTTATCACATTAAAATACCCCATTAAAAATTTTTAAAGACGTATGAAGAAAGTTTTTAAATTTCATATGATGAGTTTTCACCTGTTTTCTTGAATTTTTTGTTATTTCTCAAAGATGAGGCAATTTTTAGTCCTGTGTCATGGTGCTGTCGGTCATTGCTCTATTTTAATAGTAGATAGTCAGTATATAACAATGGACATATCAATTCCGTTAAATGTTATCTATAGAGCACAAATCACAACAACATTTACCTTAAAGCGCAGTTGTTTTGATGATCTGGGAATGATGGCTGCTCATGTATGAATCTGACGAAATCAAGAGACACTTAATGCTCACAGAGCAGTGACTTGTTACTCCTCTCATCCATCTAATGCAATGCAGCGAAGCGTGTTCGGACCACCACTCAATAAATGCATGGAAAACCCCACTAGGGTTTAAATACCTGGGACTCTTCAACAGTTGGTTTTTAGAACTGAGAAAGCCTCTGGGATGAGAGGTGAAAGTGCTTCACAAACCTTAAACAAGGCTAGTTGCTTACTTACTTACTTAGACTATCATGTCCTGGATATTCATCAAACCTACACAGGCATTTGGGTGAACGTTTGATGGAGTACTGCTGTGTGATCGAGTGAAAGTGCTTTTAATACCTAAAATGAATATAGAGGTACTTTATAATTGCCAGTCTATTTATCCTTTACTTATGACTTTTCTGTGCAGATGCTTCAAGCTGTTGCTTCACCGCCGACAACCTGTACAACTCCACTATTGCATCATAATGACGTATGTGTTGTATGCAATACCAAAGTTCCCTGATGCGGGGATTTAAAAACCCTGCCAGACAGCACAGTCGGGCAGAACAACACTGACAGAACAACTGTTAACACAGCACATTGAAACAGCTTCTGATCTACAAATTTCAACAGGTAAGCTCACTTACAATGTTCGTTTGGTTTTTTGACAGTGTTCATCTTGAGCAAAGAAGATCCTTGCTTTGTAACAGTAGAGAGCAATTTTTTAAAAATGCTATAAAAATGTAAATAGTAACAGAAACAAAATAAAGAAAGTATAAGATGAGTAGAAGTTCTGCTGAAAATCCAGCTGTGAGGATAATACAAATTATTTTCTGTGCTTTAGCAGATCTTAACTCAGTAAAAGATGGACTTCAAAATGAGCTACATGGCTGAGGAATGGAGCCTCAAGATGCCCAAGGGACTGGACTTGGAAGTTTCCCATCATCCAGTGACAATGAAGAGTGTGGTCAACCTCATCATTGCCATGGAGAGGTTAAAGACCAGCAATTCAGAGCCAGTGCTGAGCACAGACTTCCAGGATGAAAACCTGCTTTCCATCATGCTGGAGAGCATTGTGGAAGGTAATCACAAGTTTAATACTGGAAAAACTCATAATGAGCCATTATCTCTTCTATAAAATATGAATTAGGTTTAGCTATTTTGAATTCTCTTTAGATTAATACACAAATAATGTATCTTTCCATTTTACCATCCTAGTCACAAGTAGACAGAAATCTAGTTTAACACCATATTCAACCATGCATGTCTGTTTTTGTCCCAGAGCATAGTGTGATCGAGAGGACAGGTGCACCACCTCAGTTCACCAGCAGGGATGAGATTGAGTGCACTGTGACTGACAGCCAAAAGAGGAGCTTGGTTCTGGTCAAAGCAGCATGGAGCTCCATGCAGTGATGCTGCAGGGAGGCAGTGATGACCGCAAAGGTAACTACATGTGACACTTAGACGTTTAAATAGTTTAAAATAGTTGAAAATCGTTCTCGATGCAGAATCATCTGTTTTACATCATCCGTGTTGTTAGAAACATGAAGTAGAAAAGAACTAAAATGCCATAAAGTAGAAAGGATAGGTAACTTGAATTTATTAAATTGATTCAATTGTGCCTCTAACATTTTCCTGCTTACGTACGCTGCCATGATTTATTAAAATGACCCTGTATCCATCACTCTCTCCACAGTGCACCTGAACATGTCGACCTACGCGCACCCTACACCCATCGCTGAGACCAGGCCTGTCGCTCTGGGCATCAAAGGCACAAACCTCTATCTGTCTTGTCACGAGGATGACGACAAGCCAACCCTCCACCTGGAGGTAAACTTCTTTCAGGAATCTCACATGAAAAGCACACCATTTGTTATAATCTATAAGACACTGCACACATATAGATGAATTAATTTGATATCAGGCCTAATTTTGTTGACTGAAACTCTCTGACATGGATGTTTGCTCTCCTCAGGAAGTGACGGATAAAAACAGTCTGACAAGGATAAGCGCTGAAAGCGACATGGTGCGATTTCTCTTCTATAAACGCGACACTGGGCTCAGCATCAGCTCTCTCATGTCTGTCCGCTGCCCCAACTGGTACATCAGCACAGCGCAGGACGACGACCAGGTGGTGGAAGTGTGTCAGGAGGCCGCCCCACGCTACAGAAGCTTCAACATCCAGCGCCAGAGTTAAAACCCATTAAGGATTCCCAAGATGAATTTTGGAGCTCTATTTGCACTCCAGTTTGACCTTCTTAAAGTATGTGCTAAGTACATAAATTGGAATGATTAATGATGTAAAGTTACATCACAAGGTAGCATCATTGTGCTCTCTGAGCATCTGGTGTGTAGTTATTAATCAATAATTTAACATACTGTTGATGCTTTTATATATGTATTTATTCATCTATTTATGCTATTGCAAGATGTTAATTATTTGTTTGGTTGTTTGTTTTTACAAACAAGTATTTAAATGATCTAACAATCTGAAATAAAATTTTTATTCCCAATTTATATTTGTGGCTGATATATTCTTTAAATATCTGGTAATCCACTCAAATAGTGATAAATAACAGACAATAACAATCTCTCACCACAACATACAGCAAAGCTCACAAAATGTTATTTGTGAAAATAGTCAGAAATCAACCACTGTTCCTCAGCTCCGTGCAACGCGGTGTTCTGTAATAAACCCCGAGTCAGAATAGAGCCGATGACACCGACAGGCTACACACTGATCAGTACAGCCGGTTCTGTGATTGGCAACTAAACAGACATTAACCATCATAACCCTGATCACTTTCTGCCCAACTTATTGGACAGGCAGATCACTTTATCTATCAGACTCTGCTGATCCAAGCACAGATACCTTGTGCAATAAATCTTTACAATGCAAGATTTCTGTTCTGAGTTTATTTAAACTCTGCCCAATCCAACACATTGTGTGCACATTAAGCCACTTTATTGCAGTGTCTCCTACACGTTTCACTCTGTTACGGTGAGAAATTTGTTTGGTTTCTGACATTTATTTTAATTTATTAAACTACTTTTATTTTCTTATTTTTCTTAATCTAATTCATTGAGTCATCTGGCTAAACTTACTGGAGTTACTTACTAGAGCCATTTAATGGTATTTTATTCAGTTTTTGCTTTGATATTTTGCTTACTGAGCTCCTTCAATTTTACTATATATCCTGTATTTAATTAAGCATTTTTTCCTGTTCTGAGATTTCTTTTTCCTATGTAGTCTACCTTAATAATTTATCTTATCATGTATGATCTTAGCCTACCTTCTTCTTCCTGTTCATTTTACTAGCGATGGGCAAACAATTCAATGGTACATTGTCGCCACCAAGTGGCAGAGTGGACTAAAAGCATTCTTACCAAACAAACATTCTTACCAAACAAATTAGTCTGTCTAAATCAGTGTATCTTAGTTTTTGTTTGTTTGGTGCCTGGACTTAACTGCTAATTGTCTACAATTGATTATGTATGACTTTGACTTATAAGGGATACAACGTCTTCCCAGACGCCATTATGTTGTCCTGCCTTTAATTTTTTAAATTTGGATCACTAAGTAATTTAAAATAAAACCTATGTTTCCAAAAAAAAACCTCTCATTTCAGTCTCCACTTTAATGAGCTGTATCGTACCTTCTTATTTATGTCGTCTACGGTGATATTTTGAAGAGTTTTTATACAAAGTTTGGTCATATAATAAAGCACAGCTGACACATCATGTCCAGGAAATGGTGCGCCTGCCTTTCATTCATTTGCACAGATGATTTCTGCTCTAATCAGCGCAGGAGTTTTGCGCAAGTGTGTTGTTTTCCCCCGAAATTTCAAATCATCCAATCAGAGAAGGGAGGCGTTAACTCCCGGCAATTTCGAAAGCGGATGCGCGAGCGCAGTTATTATGGGCGACGTTAACGTGTTTGATACACGTTTGTTTAGCTGATTTCTATAAACTTATACGACGAAAACAATTTCTATTAGAAATGGAAGAAGGGGAATCCGAGCCAGTGGTTTCCAGAAAAGGTTAGCGAGTTTATTAAGTTCCATGAAAGCTAGCAAAGTTTAAACGGTTAACAAGACGTTATGGCTGCGAGTTAGGAAACGTTAACTTACAGTACAGTTAGTATTAGCAATTCAGGGTGGAAGAAGACGGATAGAGTTAAGTGGGTGGTAACACTAAAAAGTGACTTTTATCCGCAGCTGAGGTGCCTTTTGAGTATTTTAACCGACCTTCCTAATGGCGGTCTGTCCATGCAGGAGTCTGCTTTGTTTGTTTTGTTTAACACGTACAATTCATATTCATGCTTTCATAGCATTGTCCCGGTCAATTCCCTCATTGTATCAACAACAAATTACGAACTATATATTCTTTTACAATGTATACATAACTGGTCTGACATTAATAAATAGAAGATTGAGTCTTAAATAAAGTTTGAGAGCCTGGATAGTGTAACAGCCAAAATGATTTAATGCATGACTGTGAAAATGGCAAGGAAACTCTGGACCTGTTGGAATTTATTATATAACCAATTTATAACCATACAATCACCCTGTTCTCACTTCTGTATGTGTAACAAGCACAAAACGTGCTATTGCTATCTTTCCTGTATTCAAAACAGTGGTCGAAGAAGTACATGTGTGGGACTCACAATGATTTCCCTCACTCACTGAAATAGCATCTTAGGCACCTTTATAATCTTATTATGACCCACAATCCCACTTTTGATTTCTGTTTTATTCTCAGTTAGCTCAGAATAAGTGGATTGGAACATTTTTATTGTTTAATTTTCACGCATTGTGGGTACTTGTTCTTGCAGGAGCAAAGACAGGGAGCGCCACATGTAATGTACTCACATTAATAAAGCACATTTCTAGTCTTACTGACCACTCAAAGAGGTTCTAAGTCCACTTTAGTTCTACATTCATACACCACTTATCTGTACACTTTCAAGCACTTTAACATCCACAGCAAATTTAGAATCACCAATTAACCTAACATGAATGTCTTTTAGCCAGAGCACCTAGAGAAAATAAAGAGGACTGAGGACCAACTGCTTGTTCTGAGTGTTTACATCTCTATAAACCTATGACCTCTGTTCTGTATGTGAACCGCATATAGTTATACTAGATAAGATAAGAGAGATAAGATAAAACATTATTAATCCCTCGGGTGGGTTCCTCTGGGAAATTTGGTTTCCAAAAGCACAGCACCGACAGAAGTTACAGTTACAGAATATTATATATATATTTAAACACACACACACATATATATAAATAAGATATACGAAGGGGATAAATAGGAATAAAAATACAAGTGAATTGCACATTTCAAGTATTGAGGTCTATTGCACCGTTGACTATTAACAAAAGTATTGCACAAAAGGTATTGCACAGTGAAGTGAAGTACTACTATGCTCCTACACTGTTTGGAGATTTTCCCATGATCCTTCAAAGACCAGCAGGTGTCAGCCTCTGCTTGAACCTACACAAATGTGGTGGGAACACATATGTTTCGTATTATAATTTCAAGATCCCTCTTGAACTCTCTCCCTTAAAATATACACACATATATGACATGTACAATTTCAACCTGTCCCCAAAACCACCATTTTCATTGATTTGACCCAGAATAGCATCAAAGTACAAAACTTTTTTTTAATCACCTGCCCATTCAACTAAAATATTCCCATGTATTTGTATATATATTGTATATATTGCTATAGCGAACAGCCAAACCAAGAACAACACAAACAACAAATACATGATGTTGCTTCGTACTAATCCTTTAGAATTTTCAGTTCAGGCATTTCATGAATCTCAAGTTTGGCGTTTACATGTGAGTATAGTGAAAAATCTTTATTTGATGGTGCTTAATTCCTGTATGTTTTCTGTCACAGAGATCCGTAAGCAGAAGCTAATGGAATATCTGGCAGCAAAAGGAAAGCTGAAGCTACCTGAAGCAAGGTAAGAATAAAACTGCATGTGGAAAAAAATGTTTTATGAAATGTTGCTGGGTGTTGAAAGGAGACAGCCCATCACCAGGAATTTATTATCTGGGACTGTGCCAGGTTTAGAACTGAAGAGGCCTCTTGGATGCAGTGTTGATTTTGAGAGCTAATTTGATTACGTTTTAGTCAAGGTGTTTTGAGTAAAACGTCATTTAGTTTTAGCCATAAATTATTTAAGTTTTAGTTGTCTAAATATAAGATTAAAGTAGACTAAGTCTAAAGTTGAATCTGGTGAATAAAATATAAAGCATAAAAAGTTTCTCGTGTTTTTACTGGTGAGAGTTGCACACACGGTTTAAAACGAGTCTTATTGTCCTTGACATAAAATGCAAAACGTGTCTGTAAGTATGCTCTCTCTTACTTGCAGGCGTTGGCTTTTTTTTTCCGATGAGAAACATGAGCATGGGCACTCCAACCTGTTTGTTGAGGCAGATGAAATTGTACATGTCTAACATTGTTTGACTGATTGGATCACTTCCAAACTCATTCCACTTTTCATTTTGTTATTAAATATTATCAAGTGTCAGTACATTTCATTATAGTTTTTGTCCTCGTGCATGAGTTTTTATTTAGTTATCATTGTTTTCTCTTGCATTAGAATCAAAATCTCAAAAAAAAAGCCCAGATAACCTCTTTTCAAACACCCAAGAAAATGTGAGAATGAAACACTCCCCTATGTGTATATATGGTAATCCATATAACAAATCAGACTGATTTTTTTCTGGGATTTAAATCCCCCACAAAGTCTCAAATCTTTCATATTTTTAAAGTATAAAAATAAATAAAACATCTAAGCAGTGAACATTGCATCTATCTATGTAGATATATCATAAACCTATTGACCTATATTTGCATATACTTATTTACAAATCCACATTCCATTTAATAAAACAAAAAGAGGTCCATTGGGTTCATGGATTTTATGTGCACTGACCATGAGTCAATAAAACCAAATAATTGTAATTATTTTTTGTGTTGTATGAACAGATGAATGATAAACATAGGGAGAAAATAAATTCTTACCACAGACTTTAACAAAAATAAAATCAGTTAATGATCAACTCTAAAAGGATATCTGGTCATCATTTGGAAATTGTTGAAGCTCATTTTCTGTTTTGATAAATTAAGTAACTGATGTTTCACTCTTTAGGTCAAACCTAATTGGAAACTCTGTGAGTAAGAAGCCTGTGACATCTACACAAAAGGTACAGCTTGAATGCACGAACTGTTACTCACAAATCTGACAACAAAATCTTTAAATAATTCAGTGTCAGCGAAGGAATCTGAAACAGTTTGTTGGCTGGACAGAGATGCTGTTTGGAATCAGGCTAGTGTTGATTCCCTTTTTGTTAATTCGTAGTTTTTCTTTCACAGGTTGTTGCAGGAAAAGAAAACAAAGCTCCAGTTGACGGATTCAAGCGTAATATCACAAAAGGTCAAAGCGTGACAGCTCAGGCCAGTCGAGGCCTTGAAAAGAAAGCATTTGGTGTCAGTAACAAAGGAAATGTAAACGGCAATATACTGACGGCACAGCAGAACAACAGTCGTCCAGCACAGCCAAAACATAATCGAAACCCTTCGCTCACCAGAACATACAATGTTGTGTCCTTCAAACCTCACCTGAATGGAGCCGGCCATGTCAACAAGCAGGCAAATGCAGGAATTCAAACTTCAGGCAAAGCCCCTTTAAACACAGCTCATACAGTCAGAGTCAAATCAAAAAGCAAATTCAGCTTTGGCCCAAGTTCTGCCATATCAGGTCCAACGATGACGGTCAGTACCAGGATTAGTCTTGGCCCCCTTGTCAAAACAAAAACAGGACTTACTCCTGCAGTGATCCAGTCAAGAGCCACAAAGCCAA